TAAGTACTCGTAGATAGAAGTAAAGACAGACAGAGAGAGGGAGAGAGAGAGAGGTTTGTTGACCTCATTCTCAGGGGTTGAGTGACCTGTTTTTGCGGAGATTAAGTTTTTATAGTCGCTGGTTAATTGGGTTTTCGTCGGATCTAGCCACACTTTGGGATTTGTGTTTTTATTAAATATTTGCTAATTATTAAACAACAGCATGGGTATTCTATGGATATGACTGTGCCTGACCCCGAATAGCGTTCTCACTCGCTCTCTTCCACTCGAACAGAGCCCTCTCAGTGGGGCGCGCTCACTTCGCAGTCGCCATTTTCCGTCGAACGCTGCTGCTGACGTTTCTGTCGTCTCCTTTTCTGTTTCATTCGTGAGTTGGATTTGAGTGCGTGCAGAGCTGAAAAGTCAGAGGAAAATGCAAACGACTGATTTTCTATATACCCAATACATACTGTGTGAAGGTGGTGCTGTTTATATAATTTTAAATACTACGCTGCGTTGGACTTGAATTAAAAACGAAATTCTTGCATGCAAATCACACAAATTGTGTATGCATCAAGTTTTGCTCCTCGCTTGATTTCGTTATATTGTTGTACATACTGAGACTTCTTTTTTTCCACCTCCTCTTCCTCTTCCTCCTTTGTGTGTGTTCTTGTGTCGGTGTATACGTCGTCATGCGCTTGCCCTCGTGCGCTCTCTTTCTCTCACATGCAGCGCCGTGTGCTCCCCTTTGCGTTTCTTTCGTTTTAATTTTTTATTCAATCGAAATTTAATTCGTACTCATTTAATTAATAATTGCAAACTTCTCAGGACAGTAAGCTGAATTGAACGCTCAATAGACAGTTTTCAGCTACTTTTTGCTTTCCGTTTTTCGTCTTGTGGAAAGTGCAGCCAAGTAATGTGTATATCTGTATATAGCAGACGTCGAGAGTGTGAGTGAGTGTGTTGGTGCCTTTCTGTATGCGTATATGCTTTATTGTGTACATAACGAGTTGTGTAAATGCCTGATACTATTATGTGGTTTTATACTTGAATTTTTCACTGGATATACACCTCTTATTGCCCAGCTCTTGGCAACAAGTTCTCCATTGCTGACCTTGCCTCCGAAAACCCCAAGTATTCCCCAAGTGTGTAGTAAAAACCTTCAGAGTTTAATTGTTGCATGCCTGCCCACTGCCACCCAGCACATCGCCCACCCACCCAGTCGATAGGGTTGCCAGGTGGCGTTTCTATTGCGTTTTTAGTTCCACACAACCAAGTCGAACTACGTAATTCCCTTTTCGGGGGAGTGCGACACAATTCTGTTTAAGCAAACGGTTTCCCACTTAAATGCCACAGCAGAGGTCAATATTATAGCACTAACACTGAATATTTGATTATTTTTTATTGGTCCTTTTTTGAATTATTGACCTGTCATAGAATTTTTCTAGAAGTCGGGAAAGGGGTTTTCTTTTTCAAAAGAACTTCTTAAAATACGTATTCCGACTTAAGTCCGCTGTGCTGTTATCTTGACCCCAGCTGTCAGATATGTCGCTTTGTTGGTCATGTATAGGCTATCCCGCTCGCACGCTCAGCTGTGCGTAGGCAGGTTTCGTAACACTTGGAATTGAAAAGGGAGGGAATACGCGACGTTGCGATGGGGGAAAGGAAAGCGGAAAATAGAAAACTTGCCAGGGCAGCCAGCCCTATTACTAGTCACTGTGCCACTATTGGGACTAGCTTCAATATGCGCTCGACTGCATTTTTACAACAATATTCAAATAAGTTACTACAAACAATGCCAGCAACACAGCACGCACAATGCATAACGAGCAGGGGAAAAATGTAAGGGGTGGAATGGCTGAGGAGGGCAGTGTAGCCCACACAGACACAAATTGTTATCAATTATGCTCCAGGGGCCAGGGTTGTCGCACTTCCGCATCGTTTCTGGGGGTGTCCATGACAGGCCAGCTGAAGGGTAATTTGCGTCTTACTACTATCAAAATTCTCTGCCGAACCACCATATTTTGCCTGCAATCACCTTGTAGGACTCCCCAATAGAAGTCTATAAACTCTAGTTATAAACGAAATATAAACGAAAGTATTGTAGGTTGCTTAGAAATAAGGTAAAGAAAATATATTGTCAGGGAAATAACATTTTTGATTATATTAGGGCGGTTTTAGAGTAAATGACTATGTAAGAACTAATCTGCTCCTGTCCGAGTTCCTTCAATTCCTTTTTTTTTTTTTTTCACATTTTTCAATTGACTATTAAAGGCAGCAACCACAGAGGCAGTCGCCATATGTTGGAGTTGCCACACGCAAAGCAACTCGCACACACGATGGCAAACGCACTCACACTGGCACACTCGTGCATGAAGGCGCTGCCATTTGTGGCCTCGCTTATTTATTTTTTTTCGTGTGCGCTTTTGGTGTGAAAAACTTGTGGGGCAGCGATACGAGTAGATATAGTGGCTGTGGTGGATAGATTATAAGACCCGTGTCGGCTGTTGCCCAGGTTGGTTAAATGTTCTAAAAAAAATATATAAATCGACAAGTGATCGGCTGCAGAATTAGCTCCCAAATATATTTTGTAGTTAGGACCCAAACCTTCAAAAGGCCAATGTATATCCCCAGTTAGAAAAGGGAATTGATAGATATTAAATAAAATTTTTATATGAAGCATAAACTATAATTAAAGTACGCCTGGAAAATATTCATATAATGTCGCGGGTTTAGTAGGTTTTGTAGATGAATAATTTTTTTTTATAGATCATTAAATTTTTATTAATCAAATTAGTTTTGATTTTTTTTTAATAAATATAAATCGTCGGAAAAATTTAATTCACTCGTCATTCTAGCTACTACCACGTGTATCACGGTGTAATCTCCGGCCGACGAAAATCAAATGAAAACTCTGTCTCAGACAAATACAACATTTAATTTTCCAACAAACCAAAGCCGTTGACGTCGTTCGTTTGTTTGGTCTGTTGTGGGTTTCATTTTGACGGCCTTGAACTCATTTTTTTGTATTCGCATTTAATTTTTAAAATGTTTTTTTTTTGTGTTATGTATTTACTTGGGTTAAGTTGGCCTGTGCATTTCGTGTTTGCCTATTAAATTTGAGTGAAGCAGCTCGAAAACTGGAAGTGGAAAAGTGAGACAAAAACCAAAAAATTAAGTAAACCGAATCGTAAAAGGGCAGACATGTTGAAACTACGCATTTTTTCGGGTTATATGCGATACTTATCGGCTGGTATGACGGTTTCCCAATACATAATGTATGAAAAGGGCGCAGATCAAAACAGAACACGTTCTGATTTAAGAAGGGGAAGTACATATTCAACGGCGCAGGCAAAAGCCTCTGCCTTTCTGGTTTTTCTTTCATTCCATCTTCTTTGCTATCTAGCAGCGAAGCAAGCATGGCAGCGCTCACTCATACACGCTCGCAAAACTTGTTTCTCGCTCGCACACACATAGGAAGAGGGGGCAAATAGCCAACACATACACATGCACGACCACGCTGGGAATTACGAAAAGCAAAACATAAACAAAACTTCCGAGAACAGCTGATTAACACAGCTGTGCGCGAGTGTGAGTGCGCTCAACGTTTCCACTCAAAACATTTGCTCTCATTCCGCTCTTGCTCTCGCACCCTCTCTGCTTGGTTCTCTCCCGCTCTCACTTGCCTGCACGTGTCGGTGGCTGCTGCTGACAAACAGCTGTTAACTTATTTACAGTTTTCACATGTTGACAAAATGCGCTCAAGTGTGTGCGGTTGTGTGTTCTCCTGAGTCTCTGAGTACGGTGGTGTGTATCTTTTTCTAGGTGGCGTATGTATGCATGTATATCCATTGTTATCAGTTTTCCGTTTTTAGTTTTCAGTTTTCATTGGTCTTCAGTGGTGCCAACATGGCTTTTGTCTTGTAGGAAAATGAACCTTTAAAAACTTAGTAGTGTTTCTAAAGTGTGGAACATTTTTTAGTTTAACTTAGCTAAATTGTAAAAACGCACTTTTGTTAAAGTAAGAGTACAAGTCATTAAAATACGAGGTAGTGTAATATGTATAAATAGCACTGTCTTTTCAATTTATTACTACAAATATTAATGATGTGTTATTGTATCGCTATTTGTGAGATAACCTGACTAACTAGGCTATTAGCTGCATTTAAGTGTTCACTGTTTTAAATCGATAGATGTGAATGAGCCTACATGTGGTTGTGGCATTTTCCATTGTCTGCCTGGTGTACCTGTCCTGAATAAAAAATATGCCTTTTGTGCATTTCCCTTTTAGCAACGTCCGTTTCGCTCTCTTTTGCCTGTCCTTCCACTCTCCCCTTTTCTGTCTACCCCTGATTTGAGTTGAGCCGGTTTTTCACATTCACTTGAATGCTACATATATAGAGGCCCAAAGAGTGACATGTATTCCCTCATATCTCGTGTGTGTGTTTTTGGTTCTAGTAGTTCTGTGGGCTCTCTCGACTGTGTTCTCCATTTGGACGCTACCTACTCACAATTTCAACATTTCCTGTCTGCTCGACGATCACTTCGCGTTCTGCATTTCAGTTTTCTGCACTTTAGAGTTCCTGGGGAAAGAGGCTAAGGCTCTTCTTTGGGTCTTTCTCCTTTGCGGCTATTTTTAAGTCGCATTTTCCATGTACTTTTATTCTTTAGTGGAATTTTCAGGACCTTAAGTTTATTTTCAATAGTGTGGCTACTGAAAATAATACTGAAAAAAAATAAAAATAAAAAAATAATACTGAAAAGTATCTAATCACTTTTCAAGATTAAATTCGTGTATAAAATATGGTTTGGGTTAAATATAGACTTGTTTTTTTTTTTTTTGTGCCTTTTCTATTAAAACCTTTAATAGAGACTTTATTTCGTATGAGCCGATTTCCTTGCGTTTTTCTTCTGCTTCTTTGTCTCCGTTTTAACAGCAACGTGACTGCATAAAAAATACGTTCTATTTTGCCATTTGGTCCCGCATTGTTTTAACAAAATGTTCTCTTCTTTTTTTGCAGCGCAAAACTCTGTCCGACGAAGTATATAATAAAGGGAAATTGTCAAAAGGAAAACTTGTGAAACAGTGAAGTGCATAAAAAAAGATTATCCTGTTATAACTGATCGAAAAAGGACAAACATCTGCAAAAAACAAAAAATTAATTATAGAGACAATTTCCATGATATAGCCGTACCACCATCGCACCATCGATTCAAAAAATAAACATTTCGAGATCAATATTCAATTATTGGTTGTGTTGGCATGTTAAGTGTGTTCGATGCCGGTGCGGTTAAGTGTCGTCTATGGCCGAATCCGTTAAAAGTCAATCGCTCTCTGCATTGACGGAGGGGCAGCACAACGACGGTAGTAATATAGCAACGGGAGCAACATCTACAGCATTAGTTAATAATAGTACTGCTGCCGCTAATACAACAACTTCAAATAACTCGTCACAGCGGCGACGCAATAACAACCATAGCAACAAAAGCCACAGCAAGAACAAAAAACGCAACAACCCCCATCCGACATCACCAGTGCCCTCTGCTGTCGTCACATCCGTCAACGTAGTCACCACCTCAGCGGCAATAGCAAAGGCAACTGCATCATCCTCCGCCACCCGTCGTTCGTGCAGTCAAGGTCGCCACTCCTCTGCAGCAATTAACAACAACAACAACATCATCAGCAAGGAGCCGCATATCTCCAAGCGCAACTCTATCACGACCAATCCTGCTGACCAATCGACATCACCCGGAAGTCGCAAGCGTCAGCTTCAACATCAGCATAACAGCAGTAATTCCAGCATCAACACCAACAGCAGCGGTAACAACAATCGTAGTCATCAATGTAAGTTTCTTTATCTATGAAAATAAAAGGAAAATGACCTGTTAAGATTTGAAATTGGTTGGGATAAACCATGTTCATAATCTGTCTGATGTAAAATATACTTTCTCTTAGACACAATTTTGATGCTATTACAAATTTGGTATACGTTTTGATTCAGCATTTATGTTCAGTGGCTTAGGGTTCATTTCGCCTGGTTCGTGGCTTGACATTATATATCTGACCCTACTCTAGATACAAAGAAATTCACAAGGGAGTGGTTTGGCTATGTATACAAATATATTTATATAAACGGACATTAACCGCCAGGGTAGGCCCTTCAGACCCGAACATTTACATTTACAAAGAGACTGACTACCTTGAATAATATTATCATGCTCTATATATTTCTATGAAACAAGAAACGACACAATTTTTTCGACCTACTTTTCCTATTTTTGTCAATTTATGAAATTGTAAAAATAATTGTCCAAATTTCAAACACCAGCCAATAGTTTCCTTCATCCCCAGCTATAAAAAAAAATCCCTTGGACCAGAATAGAAATATACCCGTCTATTAAGTGGTTAATAAGAAATACCTCTGATTTTTCTCCGATGCCTTTTTCAGCGTTGCACGGCGGAGATCAGCTGGTGGAGCTCGGCTCGCCACTAAGGAAACGCCGTCGGCAGCCGGCAGAGCACAATAGTCACGAGTCCTTGGGATTAGAACTCGGCGGAGGAGCAGCCGGAGTCACTGATCAGACGCCCCATCCGGCATTCGGCGCTGATTGTGTGGCCCAGCGCACTCGATCCAAGACCGTTTCCCCGGACGATTTGCCCAGCACAAGCAGGGCAGCGGCGCGTCACCAACACTACCAGATTCAAGCCAATACTAGCTCCAGCAGTTTTCCGGGCACTAATAGTAGCAAACGCAAGGCCAGCCCAGGAGGATCCAGGTCTGTGGCTGAAGACACTCCTCAGCGAGGTGCATCTGGGGCTGCTCGCACCGGTCGCAGCGGCAATCTGCTGAACTACTACCGCAAGACACGAAAGGTCAGCCACACACGCTCCTCCCAGAAGTTATCGAAGCAGTTAGTTCAGCAGACGCCAGAGGAGGCGGCTGCAACCAACGTCAGTGAGAGTCGCCTGCAGGGAGCTGCAGCAGGTCCCAGTGGATCCAGTAGCAAGTCGAGTGTCTACCGAAAGTATAGAAAGAGTTTGCGTCACTCGCAGCAGAGTCAACTGGAAACAGAGATCTCCGGATCATCGGGAACTGGAACCGAAGCTGGAGCTGAGGAACAGCAGCCGGAGCACGGGAATCTGGACGTGGAGAGCCAGTTGCCTGCCGTAGAGGAGTCTCTAAATTCCCCAGAGGTCACAGTCAACCATACTCAGGGACAGTTGGAGGCGGAGAGCCAGTCTGAAGAGCAGGACGACAACGACGACGACGAGGAGGAGGACGACGACGAGGAGGAAGAGGAAGAAGAAGAGAGATTCTACGATATTGTAAACTCGGCTGACTCGTCCTACGGGGAAGACGCTCAAATAGTTGCCGAAGAGGACGAGATCACAGAAGAGGAAGAAGTCGACGACGAGGAGGACGATATCGAGGAGGACGAGGACATCGACGAGGAGGACCTCTCGGACAGTGATCTTGCCCATCAACTAATTGGTGAACTTGGTGGTGAGTTTCAGCGATTTCCTGCTTTTCCATTGTGCACTGCATCCATCTGCTTAAACTTTAAAATCGTATCGTATGTTTGTAGACCTGCTTTGTACATATTTGCGTAAATTCTTTTGGTTTGTTTTTCCCATTATTGTTGTGTAGATATTAAGTCGTTCTTTCTTGTTAACAAGGCAGTGAATTTTTAGTAGATGCGTTTATCGTTTCACTTAAACCCTCAAATTCGGAAGAATCTATTTCTTTGGCACGCTTTTATTAACACTCACCCCTTCTGTTAATACTAATTTTATGACTTTCTCCCTAAGGGCAATAAGTGTACATTAAAATCCTGAGAAAATTGATATACTTTACAACCTTTCTTAATTGTTAAAGTCATTCTTTCATTATTTTAAACTGATCACTGAAAAAGGACAGAACAAAGTTATGCATAAGTCTTGAGGACAGGGATTGTTGAATATGAACAGACGGACGTCAGAGAATATAATTCATAATATATTATATATTTCAATATTTTAATGAAAATCACAACAATTGTGCGAAAGAGATGTTTTTGAGATCGAAAGATATTCAAGCTTTAACTTTAACAGTGCTAACATTCCTATTTGGGCTAGGCAATGACTTTCATTTTTTGCATTGCTGTTGGCATAATGTGATTTTTATTGTCGTATCAGTTCGTGCATTTGTTATCAGTGGGGAGCAAAAACAAATAAAGAATACTGACACATTGACGAAGCATTTCTTCTACGAAGTGCTTTCGTCTTTTCGCTAGCTATTCCCCCAATGTCTACTGTATATTGTTTTTTTTTCGATTTTGATAAAAAGGCAACAAAAATGTTGGCGGTGCCAACGCTCTCAAAAATGCCAGCTACAAGCGATTGGACTGGCAGTCTGAATTCGTACATTGTGTCGTCTGGAACCGGAATACATATAAACTCTGTATATGTTGTACATAGTATTGCGCTGATTAAGACTGTTTCGTAGTCGAAGTGAATCTAGTTTAGGAGTACTTTGTTGTTAATTGCATGTACGTAACTAAACATCCTTATAAATGGTTCCAAGTGAGCATTATTAATGCAGGGAAAGTGTTCAGAACTGTTGGCTGTGCTGTCACCTGTGGTCAAACTTATTACCACCACTACCACCATTACCATTACCATTGCCTCTACCCATGCACCGACCATTCGACCCAACCTCTTCATTGCCCTTCATTTATATTGTTTTATTTATTTACTGTACGCCTTTCATTGAATTGCCAAGAAAAAACGCCCACATTATAATTTAACCCCTCATTATTTGTTTATGTATTACACTATAGAGCTATTATTATTTATGCAAGAATCGGTTGGGTTTTCTTGTATTATTATTCCATATGTTATTCTGTATACATACTTATTATTTTGTGTGCGGGGTGTCACACTCGAGTGTCAGTGTTGGCTAACGACTACAGGCACGCGGAATAGGCAACAACGCCACTAAAAAGAAAAGATGTGTTGAGATTTACTTTGTTTTCAATTTGGATTTGCAAACATACATATATTTTGAACCCTCCCAAAAAAAAGTTTATTTTTTGCACGTTGTTGTTGTTGTTGTTGTTGCAAATGTAGTTCATTTACTTCATTTCAAATCATTTGAACTGAATCATTATTGAAATTAAAGCGAAAAGTGATGAACATGATCTATATCTTCTTATCACTTGATTTTCAAGTCGAAGAATATATTTTGAAATGCTGAGATGCTTGTGTTGTTGATGATGATGATGATGTTGTTGTTTTTGAGCACAAAAGCAATAAACAAAAAAGGCGACTGTGGTGCGAGTTTATTTTGGTGTCAACAAAGGCCGGCATTTGTGTGTGTGCAGCAGCAGCAGCAGCAGGAGCAGCAGCAGAGAACAAAGAGAGAGATGAGAGAGAAATGCAGCAACAGCAACTTTTCAGCAGCAACAACAACAGCAGTAGCAGCAGCAGCATAAATATTAAGCAACAAATTGGGGAATTAATTAACGAGAGCACAAGGTGCAGTGCGTGTGTGCGTGTTGTGCGTTTATCTTAGTGTGAGAGAGATTCAGTAAAAGCAGCAGCAAGAACTGCAACAGCAGCAACGACAGCAGCAGCAACATCATCATTGTCAGCGACAGAAAGTCGTTCAGTCTCCTCCTCTCCTGATTTTCCCTTGCTATTAATTACCACTTTTTGAAAGCCAAAAATCAAACACACTGCGCTCAAAATAATCTTGTTTTTTTTGCATTAAACATTAAACTTAAAGATAAAAAAGCAAGCCAAATCAAACAAAAAAACTAACTCCAAGTAGTGTAGCTGCAAGAAAATAACTTAAAAAAAAGAATCCAAGAAAAATGAATGAAAACATCAATAAATAAAGCTGTCTTCCCACCACTCTCTCTCTCTCTGTACTCCCTCTACTACCATTCTCTCTCTTTCTCTCTGTCACACACACACCCAACCCAGAACAACAACAACGTAAAACAACCAAAAACAACAACACACCAGGAGCAACAACTATCATAAAGGAGACACCAACAGCAACAACGTCGTCCGGTTATCAACAACGTGCCGCCCCCCATGGACAGGGGGCGGGGGGTGGCAGCGGGCCACGTGCCACGCGCAGCACCAACAACGTTGTTGACTACAGCATTATGCCGCACCTTACGTCGGCAACAACAACTACTACGCCATATGCCTTGACAGCGCAGCAGCAACAACAACAACAACCGCCACAACCTCCGTCACAGCAGCAGCAGCAGCAGCATCAGCAGCAGCAAGCACAGCAGCAACAACAACAGCCACCTCAGCTGCTGCCCACACATCAATTTGCACATTTGTCTTCCTTTGTGACACCAACAGCAGCCGCCGCAGCAGCAGCAGCAGCGGCAGCAGCAGCAGCACACTATCCACCGGCTGCTGCTGCTGCCGCTTACTTTGCACAGCATCAACAGCACCAACAGCATCATCAGCATCATCAGCAGCATCAGCATCATCAGCAGCAACACCAGCCGCAGCACTATTACCACAATTCAGTGGCCGTGTTGCATCAAACTCCACCACCACACCATTTTACCTCCACAGGCGCCGGACCACCGCCGGCTCTCTATCAGCAACAGCAGCCGCAGCCACCTCAACTCACTCGCTATACCGCAGCAGCTGGAGCGGCAGGAGCGGTCCCAGCAGCGGCTACGTTTGTGCCGCCACAGCAACAAGTTACGTACAATCAGCAGCAGCAGCACCAACAACAACAACAACAACAACAACACTCCTCACTGCGACGTAGTTCACGTGGCAAGACGGGTTCTTGCGTGAGTTCAGCGGCAGCAGCACAGCAGCAGCAACAGCAGCAGCAGCAACACCACCAGCAGCAGCATAGCAACGCTGCTGCTGCTGTACAACAGCATCAACAGCAGCAGTTGCTGCCACCGCCTGGTACCTATCAATACCAACAGGTGGGCGGCAATACCGTTGTTGTTGCCGTGCGTCATCAGCAACAGTTGCAACAGCAGCAGCAGCAGCAGCAGCAGCAACAACAACAACAACAACAACAACAACAGCACAACAACAACAACAACAACAACAGCAGCAGCAGCAGCAGCAGCACCAGCACCAGCAATTGGCTTTACACCAGCAACATCAGCAGCAGCGTGCCACGCTTGTGCAGCCGGGATTCTTGTTCAGCTATCGCAGCAATCATCCGCAGCAGCAGCAGCAACATCCGCACACACAGCAGCAGCAACAACAACAACAACAACAACCGCAACAAATTGTACATCAGGGCCCGAAAGTGACGCATAGCAGTGGTAAGAAGAAGATGAGACCTTGATGATGATGATGATGTTGAAGCCTCCTCCTTGCGAGGAAGGAGGTCAAAATAAGAAGGATGTGAATGGAGAAGAAACCGCAAGCAAACAAACCCTCAAAATGATAGGTCAAAAATAGGTATTATATATAGGAAAGTTTCCTAGGCTCAGGAAAGATCTCACACTCACGCACGCACTTTGGGTTATACATAGGTTCCCAGGCTGTATTTTAGGGTCAATTGTGGTCCGCTGTATACTCTTACAGGCTCCATTGTCGTCTACTTTTAATACAAATTCAATTTAAATTTGGTATTAATAATATAACGTTTCCTTTTTAAAAATTGCTAATAAGTTAAGTGACATTTAGAATTTCTCTCTTCTCTTAAATTCTTCCGAAAAATAGAAAGTAGCACCATAACTTCATAGCAATATTGTACAAAATGTAGGATCCTGGTCTTTACCCATGCTCTATTTTGGTGCTGGCTGTAGCATAGGTGTTAATACTACCCATTCTGCACTGAAAGAAAAATAATGCAAATAGCACACCCTCCCACAGACCTTCTCTCTCTGTCTCTATCCTCCTGTCCCTCGCTCGCTCGCTCATTCCTGCGTTGCTTTGCTCGCGGTGTCTGCCCCAAAACAAGATCCCAAAACTCCCGAACAAAAAATCAATTGAATCAAATTAATAAATCGAGAACTAAACATTGTTTTCAATTTCTCTCTCTCTCTCGCATCCTGCCCACTCGCTGTCGCTCCGTCTCCCTTGAACACCCGATTTGTCTCCGCCTTCGTCTCTCCCTTGTCTGATTAGCAGCTTCGGATGCTTTAACATATAGTTTGATGGCACAACAACCGCCAAGTGGACCGCCGCATGCAGGTGGACAGCAATTAACGCCAGGTAAACGATCAGTATACATCATATACGCACTGTATTCCACACCCACACATACTCATCCGCTTTTGATTTGATATTATTTTTCACTCCTCAAAGACACGACGCACACATACAGGGGGTGACCCCACAGGTGGCAGCACACTTGACCTTTTTCGTTATTATTTCTACCCATTATCCCAAATGTATTTCTAACATTAGCTTACGTTTTAGTTTTGATATTTTAGTCCTAATTTAGTTGCATTCAATGTATTTTTAATGTTGTACTTCCCTCGATTTGACCCAAAATTATTTTTAAACGTATTCAGAGTATCGAAAGTTCATGTGCACAGGGATTTCGCAGAAATCTTTGTTCATTCTTTTCGAAAATCAACGAATTCGTGTTTGAAAGATGATACGAAATTATAAAAAAATGTATTTCTCTACGACCTAAAAGAGGAAACAGATTTTCCTACCAAAAACTCCTCAAAACAATTGAAACAAAGTTGTTGTTGACTTGTGACTTTCAACAGTTTCAAAATTCCCAACATGGTAGCCTGAGCTTTTTCGTTCCTTTGTTTTTCCGACATATGTATTTGTTTCATGTTCTTTCGTACTCACGAACAAAAGAATCTCAAGTCTATCTCTTGAATGTTTCCAAACTCCGCAATGTCCGACCTCGATACTAACGATCCGTTTTTCGCCTTCCTTCGGGACACGTCTATAGGTGCCAACTCTGCCAATCTCAGCATTGTCGCGGCCGCTCTGAGTGCCGCACGTGACGTCGGAGGAGGAGCAGGAGGTGCAGGAGGCGCGGGAGGAGCAGTACCAGCCACTGGAGCAGCAGCTGCATCGGCAGGAAACACCAGCGCCGTGGGCGCGACGAGCAGCAACAGCGGTGCCGGCCAACCAGCCAGCAACAGCAGCAACAATGTAACCGCAGCAGGGTCGGGGTCTGTTCCCGGTGGCGGCGGACACACCACCACAGGGACGACGAGCAGCGGGAGCCAGCATGGCGGTGGAGCTGCAGCAGCCGGCGACTCGGAGAGCGATGACAGTGAGGTGGGTCGCTTGCAGGCATTACTCGAGGCTCGCGGACTGCCACCTCATCTATTCGGAGCTCTGGGTCCAAGGATGACGCACATTCTCCATCGCACCATTGGAAACAGTAGCAGTTCGAAGGCCAATCAACTACTTCAGGGACTGCAATCTCATGACGAGTCCCAGCAACTGCAGGCTGCCATTGAAATGTGCCAGATGTTGGTGATGGGCAATGAGGATACCCTCGCTGGCTTTCCCATTAAGCAGGTTGTGCCTGCCCTCATCCAGCTCCTGCGCATGGAGCACAACTTTGACATCATGAACAATGCGTGCAGGGCTTTGGCTTACATGCTGGAGGCATTGCCCCGATCCTCGGGAACCGTTGTAGAGGCCGTGCCAGTGTTCCTCGAGAAACTTCAGGTCATCCAGTGCATGGACGTGGCCGAGCAGAGCTTGACCGCACTGGAGATTCTCTCGAGGCGTCATAATAAGGCCATTCTGCAGGCAAATGGAATATCGGCATGCCTTACTTACCTGGACTTCTTCTCGATTGTGGCTCAGCGTGCAGCCCTTGCTATTGCAGCCAACTGTTGCCTCAACATGCACCCGGAGGAGTTCCACTTTGTGTCTGAGAGCTTGCCCCTGCTGGCTCGCCTCCTCTCGCAGCAGGACAAAAAGTGTGTGGAGAGCGTGTGCTCTGCTTTCTGCCGCCTGGTGGAGAGCTTTCAGCTGGATAGCCAGCGCCTGCAGCAGATAGCCAGTCCCGATCTCCTGAAAAATTGTCAGCAACTATTACTGGTCACTCCGGCCATTCTAAATACGGGAACCTTTACGGCCGTGGTGAGAATGTTGAGCTTGATGTGCGGCAGCTGCCCGGATCTGGCCATTTCGCTGCTGAGAAACGATATTGCGGCCACCTTGCTATATTTATTGACTGGCAATGCAGAGCCGGCAGCTGCCAGTGCCACCCACGTCGAGCTGATCTCACGCTCACCCTCGGAACTGTACGAACTGACCTGTCTGATTGGTGAGCTGATGCCACGTCTGCCATTGGATGGCATTTTTGCGGTGGACTCTCTGCTGGACAGGCCCACGTTGAATACCCAGGATCAGGTCCACTGGCAGTGGCGCGATGATCGCGGTTCCTGGCACAATTATTCCACCATTGATTCGCGGCTAATTGAGGCCGCTAACCAGAGCAGTGAGGACGAGATCAGTCTGAGCACATTTGGACGCACTTATACCGTGGACTTTCATGCCATGCAGCAGATCAACGAGGATACGGGCACCACGCGCCCGGTGCAACGCCGCCTCAATCACAATTATGTGGCGCCCATGACAGCAGGACAGGATTTGACCACCACAGCTGCTACAGCGGCATCTGGAGGAGCTTCTACCTCTGCTGCAGCGGCAGCGGCAGTCTCAAATAACAACAACAATAATAATAATCCACCAACCAGCAGTGGCAGCCAAGCAAAGCGTCGCCCTTCTCTGGATGCCAGGATTGCTTGCTTAAAGGTAAGTCCTAAATCATATTTTATTACCTTGAACAAAATAATATTATTTTGGCATTTTGCAGGAGGAACGCGGACTGGCAGCGGATTTCATAAAGCACATATTCAATGTGTTGTACGAGGTCTACAGCTCGTCGGCAGGACCGAATGTGCGATATAAATGCCTTCGTGCCCTTCTCCGAATGGTGTACTATGCCACGCCCGAGCTGCTGCGCCAAGTTCTCAAATATCAGCTGGTCTCCAGCCACATTGCCGGTATGCTGGGCAGCAACGATCTGCGGATTGTTGTGGGAGCTCTTCAAATGGCAGAGATCCTCATGCGACAGCTGCCTGACGTCTTTGGTACTCACTTTAGGCGCGAAGGCGTCATCTACCAGTTCACCCAACTAACGGATCCAAATAATCCCATTTGTGCTAATTCCTCACCAAAGCCGCTGAGCACGACGGCCACGCCAACAGCTAACGCGGGCGGATCTCAGTCGGCACCGGCCTCCGCCAATAGCCTACAGGTTAATCCCTTCTTCATGGACAGCGCTCCGGGATCATCAAGTGCTTCAACGACCCCAAGCAGCAGCAGCAAGCACCAGTCATACAGCGTGAAGAGCTTCTCGCATGCCATGAACGCCTTGACGGCCAGTGCCAAAGGAGGAGCGACCGCTGGGGCGTTAGACACCCCTGGAACCTCGACGCCCTCTGCAAGTGGTTATAACTATAGCAGCTCGGCGCCATCCTCATCCTCATCTGCGGTTGGAGCGCCCACGGCTGCCTTCTTTGCGGCCCAACAGGGGGATCCTCGCCAGTATGTGCACTTCCAGCAGCCGGCGGTGCCGCCGCCACCACCCCAATTGGAGCTCCTACCACCGACTGGTGTTCAACAGGTTGTGCCACAGGTTATCTACCAGCCGCAGCAGCAACAACAACAGCCAGCACATTTGGTGGTGGCCTCAACCAGTGCTGCTGCCTCTGCTTCGTCGGCATCCTCCTCATCGTCGTCCTCGGCCTCGGCGCTGCAGCACAAGATGACGGACATGCTAAAGCGAAAGGCGCCACCAAAGCGCAAATCGCAGAGCAGCGGCAGGGCAAAGTCCCGTCAGGAGGATGCAGCCTCCGTTGCAGCTGCAGCAGCAGCTTCAGGAATTGGAACAGGAGGAGCTTCGTCAGCATCTGCTAGTTCCGCCATGCATGAGCTACTCAGTCGAGCTACGAGTAAGTCAAAGTAGAGGCTTAAGTGCTTTCCAGAATGGGTTTATATTAATTATTTGCATTTTGCTTTGAAGGTCTTGGTAGCGGCACTGGCGGTAGGAGTACGCCTAGCTCTGGCAGCGGGTCCGGTGGTTCGAAGTCTCGCTTCAATGCCGGCGGCAATTCGAACAGCGCCGGGTCGAGCAAGTCATCGTTCCTGGCTTCGCTGAATCCGGCACGCTGGGGTCGCCAAACGGCAGCACATCACCATCACCACCACCAGCAGCAGTCGCAGCAGCAACAACACCACCATGGCCTGTCCAAAGATTCCGGCAATGCTAATTCCTCAAGTGGATCTGGTTCGGGATCTGGATTGGCTTACACTGTCACCCAGCATGGAGCTGGCGCTGGCGCTCAGGGAGGACTGAACGCAGCTGCCGTTGCGGCCAGCATCAGTAAGAGCATCTCACACGCCAATCTCTTGGCGGCGGCAAATCGGGAAAGAGCACGCCAATGGGTGCGGGAACAGGCAATAGACTTTGTCAAGCGTTACACGGAGCAGGAGGCCAGGAGGAGCAAAACTGCTTCAGAGAGTGGAACATCTCAAAGTGGAAACAACGGAGCACCCGGATCCTCTTCGGCGACGGGCAACAATGCCCCGCTGTCAACAGCGGGCAGCACCAACGTTCTGGAGCGTTTATCTAGCATCCTGTTTAAGCTTAACGGCAGCTACCACGACTGTCTGGATGCCCTTCTGGAGCTAAAGACAATCCTGCTGGAGAGCGACATCTCGCCGTTTGAAGTAAACCACTCGGGCCTGATCAAGGCCATGCTCAACTACATGACCAGCGAGACGGGCCTAGTGGAACGCGATGCGCGTTTGCGCAGCTTTATGCACGTCTTTGCTGGGTTGCCACTGGAGCCTCTTCTGCAGAACGTCGGTCAGCTGCCCACCATTGAGCCTGTAGCATTCAGCGCCTTTGTGGCCAAGTTGAATGGCTGCGTTACGCAGCTGGAACAGTTCCCTGTAAAGGTGCACGATTTTCCTGCTGGTCCAGGTGGGCGCTCCAACCAGAGTGCGTTGCGGTTCTTCAACACGCATCAGTTGAAGGTGAGCAAAAAAATTAAAAAAAAAAAAAAATTACAAAAAAAACTAATTTATGCTACCTCTATTTCCCCCTTAACAGTGCAACCTGCAGCGCCATCCGCAGTGCAATAATTTGCGTCAGTGGAAGGGTGGCACCGTCAAGATCGATCCATTGGCCATGGTTCAGGCTATCGAGCGTTATCTGGTGGTGCGCGGCTACGGCGGCATCCGAGCCGACTCGGACGACGACAGCGAGGAGGATATGGATGACAACGTGGCCGCTGTGGTAATGACACAAGCTGGTTTTAAGCACAAGCTACAGTTCACGATTGGGGAGCATGTGCTGCCCTACAACATGACCGTGTATCAGGCGGTCAAGCAGTTTTCTCCGTTGGTCAGCGAGCAGCCGGAGACGGACAATGAGTCGGAGACGCTTTTGGGCAACGCAAGCATATGGGTGCAGCAACACACGATCTATTATCGTCCGGTCGAGGAGGAGGCTACTCCAGGGGCCGCGGCGTCCAGTAGCAGTTCGTGCAGCAGCAGTGGTGTGCAAAAACAGCAGCAGAGCACCTCTAGTTCAGGCTCGAGCTACGCGAATGCCTCGACCTCGTGCTCATCGTCGTCGGGAGTGGCTAGCGGTGGAGGATCCTCCTCAAAGAAGTCTCACAAGTCCAGCAGCAAGTTTATGCGCAAGAAAACCGAACTGTGGCACGAGGGTATTGCTCCTGGTGTAATCTCTGCTCTGAAGCCATTCCTCAGCAGTTCGTTGCCCGCCGATGTGGTAACAGTGCAGGACTCTTCGCTGGATGCCCTGTGTATGCTGCGCGTGATCCACGCTCTTAATCGCCACTGGGAGCATTTGTATGGCTGTGTGGTGCGGCAGAACATCGTTCCCCAGGCCGAGTTCGTGCATCCAAAGATCACGGCGAAAGCGAACCGCCAGCTGCAGGATCCGCTAGTGATCATGACGGGCAACTTGCCACAATGGCTGCCCCAGATCGGCATGGCCTGTCCGTTCCTTTTCCCATTTGAGACACGGCACCTGCTCTTCTACGCCACCAGCTTCGATCGTGATCGCGCTCTGCAGCGACTGTTGGACACCACGCCGGATCTGAATGCTGCCGAGTCCTCCGAGAGGGTTGCTCCGCGTCTAGATCGTCGCAAGCGTGCAATTTCCCGGGCGGAGATCCTTAAGCAGGCGGAGCATATCCTGCAGGACTTTGGCCACTCGAAGGCTCTTCTGGAAATCCAGTATGAAAACGAAGTGGGAACAGGTCTGGGACCAACACTAGAGTTCTATGCATTGGTTTCTGCCGAGCTGCAGCGCACTGATTTAGGTCTGTGGAATGGAAGCGATAGTTACAAACAGAATTCCGTGACCATTGTTGATGTGGTAAAGGCCAATAGTGCTGTGCTGCACATTGAAGATGCCCTTGAGGCAACCACAATGGAACAGAGTCCTCCAGCAGCACTCGTTAGCAGCACCACCGTCACCACCAGCACAACGACAGCTACACTGAACCACCAGCCACCACCCACCCGCTCCAGCAGCCGCTCGCACACCCTTCGGGGTGCAGCTGGTCAGCAACAACAGCCTGTGGAGCACAGCTCCTCCAGCGGCGGTGGCGGCGCCAATGAGAACGCTATAAATATGATAATCGCACAGCAGCAATTTAGTGATATAAACTCGGTGGCGGAGTCGGCAGCAGCGAACGATAATCCCAGCAGCACTACCACCACTATGGCCAACATCGTGGTAGAGCAAAGCACCACAACCACGAATCAATCCAGCACCACCACGAACACAATAGCTACGACCATGACTAGCTATGTGCACGCGGTGCATGGCCTATTCCCTCTGCCACTGGGCAAATCCTCGAAGCTGCCGCAGATGACCAAGGCCAAGGCCAAGTTCAAGTTCTTGGGCAAGTTCATGGCCAAGGCGGTAATGGACAGTCGAATGGTAGGTTGGGATTTGAATTCCGTTCCCTTTCGTGATCCTAATTTGTTTCTTTTTTAGCTTGACTTGCCATTCTCATTGCCATTTTACCGTTGGCTGGTCAGCGAGGAGCATTCCATTGGCCTGGCCGATCTGATGCGCGTGGCACCGGAGGTGCAGAACACGTTGGTTCGCCTGCAGGATGTGGTGCGTCAGCGAGAGTACATTCTGTCCGATCCCAACATCGATGCCATGGAAAAGACGGAAAAGGTGAGTGTTAGCATTTAAAATGTTTCCAAGAATCGATTGATAAACAAATTTCTTTTATTTTTCAGATTGAGCAACTTGATTTGGATAGCTGCCCCATTGCCGATCTGGGACTGGACTTTGTGCTGCCCGGCCATGCAAATATCGAGTTGTGCCGTGGCGGACGGGACACACCGGTGACCGTGCACAATCTGCACCAGTACATATCGTTGGTTACATACTGGTTCCTCATTGAGGGCGTTCAGAAGCAGTTCGAGGCACTGCGCGAGGGTAATATCCACTCTATTCTCCAAGGCACATATATTTCTCATTCTAAACGTTATTGTTTCTGGTTCTTGCAGGCTTCGATTCTGTCTTTCCGATTCAGCGTTTGCGCATGTTTTACCCGGAGGAGTTGGAGTGCGTATTCTGCGGCTCGGCCAGCGAGCAGCAGCACCAGCGGTGGGATGCCAAGATGCTGCAGGACAGCTGCCGCACAGATCACGGCTTCCACCAGGAGTCGCAGGCGATTCAATATCTGTACGAGATCCTCGCCTCCTATAATCGCGACGAGCAACGCGCTTTCCTGCAGTTCGTGACGGGATCGCCGCGCCTACCGACTGGCGGATTCAAGGCCCTAACGCCTCCTCTGACCATCGTGCGGAAGACTCTGGACGGCAACCAGAATCCCAATGATTACCTACCATCTGTGATGACCTGTGTCAACTATCTCAAGTTGCCCGACTACTCCAGTCGCGAGGTGATGCGGCAGAAACTGAAAGTGGCTGCCAACGAGGGCAGCATGTCCTTCCACCTGTCCTAAACAAAATCCGAATACCGAATACAAGTCCGCGCTGCAGCAACATCCCTACCACAAGCAGAAACCAAGAATATAGAAGGATCTATATAAATTCCAAGCGCTACAAACCACAGAAGCAGCAGCCACATTTACATTTAACTGAAAGGAAGGATATTAAGTGTTTTTGTTAGATTCGCCGCGCGCGCTTTTTACCCTCACCACCACCCCCCAACCCTACCTCAGCCCCGCTTTTAAATTTTCGCTCTTGGTCAGCGTCGTGCGCAAAGCTAAATTTCAATATATAATTATATAATTATAATATATTTTGTATTACCTAGTTTTGCAAAAAAGAAAAGAAGAAACGAGAAATACAAGAGAATAAAATCACCATTATAGGGGATGGACTCAAGAAATGAAACTAATCGTGAAGAACGAACCCGACCCTGAAGCCGAATCCCCTAAAATGTTATCTTAAATAAATTGAATAGTAGAATATCGATTATAGAGGGACCGAGTCGATTATTTGTCTACACGAGATCAGAGTTTGTTCGTCCTAGTTAAATTTTTATATTTTGCTCTCATATATTCTCGTAACCGAATTCTCCTTGTAATTGAAGGAATTATTTTATTAAGTTGTTTTTTTGTTATGTTGAACATTATTTGCTCCGGCGTTTAAATATGAGTTTAATTAATTTGTAAGCATCAGTTGTGCATAAACGCTTATTAGGAACACAAAAGAGGTAATGCAGAAAAAGCGGGAATAGCTGGAGCATAGAAAAGGAGGATGAATTCGTCATTGTTTACATGTAGCAACCCTAAAAATGATCTAAATAGAAAACGCAACGCCCACCCTTTAAAGTTACACTTTAAAAATTTAAATAATACATTTAACATACATATGTAACACTATGATCTATTTATCATGCCTACAAGCAAATTGAATGCAAAATTCTACAAGCTGTGTTAAAACAAAAACAAAAGATAAGAACTAAGAGGAAACAAAGGCCATCATCGAAATGCGATGGAACTTCAATTTGAGAAAGATAAAAACAAAGAAATGGAGGGGAAGAGAAAGCGCATAAAGTGAAGTTTAGGGATTAGTAAAGTGTCCTCTTGCATCAACTACGCATTCATATACATATATAAATATATTATATTACAACGTAAGCATTGCATAACTTGTATTGTAATTGAAGCATATACATACATTTTTGTGTTTGTCCAACAGAAGCGGCACATAAAGCTAATGAATAAAAAAATAAACTACCATTAAAACTGGAAGCAAAAACCCGATCTTACATACTACAACTAGATACAGATTGCAGTACTGAATACTGATTACTGATGCATGTGGTATATATATATAAACATATAATAACTATAACTATGGAATATAATTATACTTTACAGAAAACAGTGGCATCTCTTAAGATGCTGATCAAGTTATATGACATAAAAGTGCTAGCATTAAATTAATTAAATAACATTAATATTACATAATACTAATGTATGTAGTTACATCAAAAAACACAATTGCTCTATGATAACGAAAAAGAAGTAAGCAAACCAACCAAGAAGCAAGCAAATAAAACAAAAAGATTATAATGACAAATTAACTGAAATTACGTGACTTTCAGATGTGGGGAAAATGATAAATACATTAGTAGATTTTAAAGTCTCTAGGGGGATACTTCAAGGATCTACAAGGCTTTCAATTTTGACTTTGCTTCATGGGAAAGTGTGCAATGCATCCCCAATTCAACGTGTAGTAAGAGAGATTTTCAGGCACCTGAATTCATAATCCGAATGTTCTCGAGGAGCAGGGGACAACTTAAATTACGCCTATTGTCCCTGTTGGCACATATCAAACATAGATCCAGCCATGGAAACCGTTGCTAGGGGAAGCATTGTATCCATTAAAACGAAAAACTTAGTCACGATACAATTGTATCATGAACTTAGTGACATTTGTTTATATAAACTTCCAGAACACAGTTCGAAACGAAGCCCTTAAAACTCTGAGTGATCCTATACAAACTGACCCAGCTGAGGGGCTAATCTCATAGCAAGATGAATCGAAGCGACGACATGAAGCGGGCCTCGCTGGACGACTACAAAAAGAATGCGATGGCCTCCGTGGGCTGGGCGGTGGACGCCGACATTCCCATGGCGAATGCGGAGAACCTGGCCATTCTCAAGGAGATTGCCGCCTTGAGGGCGCTGAAAGTGGAAGTGCAGCAGCGCATGAAGTCTCTAGACGAACGCGAGCAGGCGGTGCAGCGGCATAAACGCAACATTGAGGCCACTATCCAACAGAATCAGGTAAGAAATCGTCTTTGAGGTGTCAGTCCATAATCTCCGCGTTGACATTTCAGACGCTATATAGCTCGTTGAAGGATGACGAGATCAAGGAGGCTCATAAGGTGCAGCTGGTGATCTTAGAGCGCAACAAGATAAAGGAGGATCTGCGGAAAAATGAAAAGGAGTTGGAAGAGTTTACTGAATATTCCGAAGCCACAGAACGTAAGGCATTAAATGATAAATTTACATATGTAAAAAGTGCATATTGGGCTAATTGAGCAAATTACTTACTATTTCTGTAACATGACCCAACAGGGAAAATCTGCCAGAAAAAGCAAGAGATAGACGAGCTGACGTCTCGCATTAAGTCCGCGAAGACCACTTTGGTGGAGTGGACCGAGGCGATGGAGGACGGGAACAAGGGCTACCAGCTGATCGAAAAGTATTATTTGGACGACCAGCAGAAGGCTCGAGAGCTGAACACCAAGCGCCAATTGCTGCAGGCGGAGATTGACAAGCGGCGCAAGCAGGTGGTCCTACTCTACGATGAACAAATGACGCTGGAGAAGAATCTGGAGCGGACCGCCTGCCTTTATAGGGCGGCTCATGTGGAACGGCGGCAGATGGTAGAGACTTGGAAGAATGCAGTGAATCAGATGACCCAACGAGAGAACAGCATCCAGCGCAGCGAGGCGGAGTGCGCCGAGTTGGCCCATAAGGCGCAGCAGACGGCTTTAGCCTACAAGGAGCACGATAACCAGCTGAATGAGGCGATCGAGAACAATCGCCAGGTGGAGATTTCAATTGAGGCATTGAATGAGGAGACCTCGGAGTTGAAGAACCAAATACAGATCCTGGTAGATCAGTCGATTCTGACGGATCGCGAGCTCGACGGCCTGCGTAAGGAGCTGGAGAATCTCGCGAACCGGGTGCACTTGCAGCGCGTGGAAAACCGCAGTCAGATGAAGAAACGGGATGAAAAGGAGAAAGAAATCGAGAACTTCGCCTCTGTGATGGAGAAGGTTGAGGCCAGACTAGCCTCCATGCAGAACAAAGCTCTGAATGCGGATCAGCGTTTGCACATTCTAGAAGAGATGATGGAGGCGGAGCAGACAGCGCTGCGCAATCTGGAAAAAGAGCAGGAGAAGGTAAACGATATGGTGTACCGTACCCAAAAGCAGGTGGCAGAGCTGCAGGACGAGGAAAAGATTTTGGTCGTACAGAATGCCTCTCTGACCTCCAATCTGACGGCCATGAAGCGCAACCAGCAACTAGTTCACCAGGAACTGAAGCGCCAGACGGAGATCCACTATAATCTCTCCTTTAAGTATCTAGAGGCTGAGCGTCGTTATGCCGAGCTCAAGGGTCAGTCCGACGATCCCGAGGTAGAGGCGAAAAACCTTGAGCGACTGTCTCATCTGGAACAGGAGTACGAAAAGCTGCAGCGTCTAATCCTCAATACGGAGGCTCAGAACAGGAAGCTCAACCACAATATGAACAATCTGGTTGTTCAGTATAATAACGACGAAAAGGAACTCGAGATGGTTAGGTTCAAGATCAAGGAGGCTCAGGTTTACTGCGAGGGTACCGTGAAGAGATTACGACAGAATCGCTTCGATAATTCTGAACTTATTGTGGATCTCAACATGGTGAAAATGCGCTGCAACGATCTCGAGGTGGGCATCGGTGGCTGCGAGCAGGGCACCTACGATTTGGAGCAACACCGTCTCGCTTTTCGCCGTGCCATCAAAGATCGAACTGTGGAGCTGCGCAGCCAGGAGGAAGTGCTTCTACTGAAGAAGAAGCACCTGAACGAGGAGCTCAGCACCTTGCGGGCCGACATCGGCGAGCGAAGGAAGCAGATTGAAGTGATGAAAGCCAGATTCGAACTCACTTCCAAGCTGCTGGGCAAGAACGAGGATGGCAGCATTATGACCAGCACACAGCTTAAGGTGGCTAGCGCCCAGCAGCGCCAGTTGCTGGCCGACGAGGGTGACGCCCTTAACAAGAAGGTGCTCACGGCCGAGAAGGAGGTGGTCGCCCTGGAGAACACTCTGCGCCAGTTCGACGTGTCCAACAGCAATTACCGCAAAACCTTTACATCGGTCGACGACGATTCGATGGGTAAGTGGGTATCTGAGGATTCTGGGAAAATCTTATTTGGTTGTTATCCTTTTTTTAGCAGATCGTGAGAAAGCAGAGTTGGAGCTGCAGGAGGTGGAGGCTGCCCACTGCCGCGACCTAGAAAAACTGAAGGTGCTGCGATGTAAGGCGCAACATTACGATCAAAAGCACGAGGCTCAGCGGGCCGAGGAGGAGGACCTGATCAACAAGTTGGAGAAGGCGAAGGCGCAGCGCGCCGAGCACGCGGCTGTGCTGGAGAAGCTTGAGAAAGAATTGGATGAGCAGCGCCTGAAGCTGGAGCGGGCGCAGCGAGAGATCCGGACGCAGTTGCGAGAGATTCAGGCAAAGCCAATCAGTGAGGAGTTTATGGAGCAGTTTGAGCGGGATCTCAATGCGCAGGAGCTGGAGGCTCGCAACTCTAAGGCACTCAATATGCTGACCGATCTGGCCAACAGCGACGAGTCGGGGCCGGAGATCCTCAATTTCATGCTGAGCAAGGGTGTCAAGTTACCGATGCACCTGAAACGCACTCGCAGTACCGTATCCTGGGGCAGTTCCTCGGTCAAGTCTTCTGACACTGTGGGGTCCTACATCAGTGTTAAGGGCAAGAGCTTCCTTGGCGGGGGAATGAGTGCCAGGTCTTCGACATCCGATATGAGCTCCCTCAAGGACGATAGCTCCTCCACCACTTCGCGCTCGGGCCTGAGCGTTATCTCTCTCGAGCTGCCCATGCCGGCAAAGAAGAAATGATATCACTCTAAATCCAACTAATTAGTTTACTTTAGTTATAAATTTTATTCGGTTATCAATGAAAGTATCTGGTATTGCTTGTCGCCCACAGGTAGCTTCACGTGCTTGGCCATCGGACACTGTTTAGAAATATACTGTCTAAACAAAACCCGAATAAAATGCGTTGCCAAAGCGGGCCAAAATGACGGGAGAGCGACCATAAAAATAGCCCAAATCAAATCCAATGAGGCTGCACATCCGAATGTCCCAGTGTGTTCCCCTGCACAGGGCTTGCCGACTTCCGAATTCTCTTCCAAGAGAGCGCATAGATCTTTTTCCACAACTGGTGTTTCGGAATACTTAAGATCGAATTTTCACGCAACATTTATTTAAAAATTTTAATAATCTGCGTACCCTTTTCTCTTCAAATATTTATTAAGATTAATATTTCAATTTTAGCAACTTGAGCACTAATAAACAAGAATAAAACTACAGTAATATCTTATTGATTCGACATGGCGAACTAAAATATATAGTTTCTATATCAAAAATGTATTTTACTCTTTATTTGAATTTAAGAGTTGCAGCTTGATGTGTTTCTTAAACATGCATTATTCTTAATTATATTCGGTTAAAGTGACCTCCACATTGAGATCCGACCTCAAGAAAAATATGGAAAGTGTGCAAAGATCAACACAGATTATCTACATATCTGAATGAATACAATAATAGAATCAACCTGGCGATCATCCATAATGATAGATCATCTCTGTTCTCTTTTAAGTACAAAATCTGACACATCGCGTTTGTATATAATTGCAGATGGCCGCCCCCTTGTGAACGCGTTACAAACACAACAACAAAGCCTATACGGCCGACGACGAAGTACGATATATCGGCCAAATATATTTATATACATATACACATGTCCAAAGCTATATTTCGAAATTAGGTACCCGATGACTACACAAAAAGAGAGAGAGAAAGAGAGAGTGTAGTGCGGCGTTCGAGAAATGAGTTTTCGGCGCTACTACGAGTGTTTTCGAAATTCTTTTTCTTCGATTCCGGCGGCGATCAGCGCCGGGCATTTCATTATTTTTCATCATATCGTTTCGCTAGCATCGGTGCCGAGCAAGACCTCAGATCGCTGTTGGGCCTAAAAGATTTTCAAAATTTTCACTTGCTGATATTTTTAGAAAATTCTGAAAGCGGAAAAACCGAGCTGTGTGCGCTGTCTGGGAATGGACTCCTGAATAGATTTTCGCCAACTGAAAAGGAGGGATCAACATCTAAGAAGGTGAAAAATTTGCATAAGATTCGAGACACTTCGCTTGCGGAATGTGCTCCACGTCGGTTCTGTGTCCGCTGTGCGCCGTGCCCAGTTTCGGCAGCATTGACGCACTGCAGCAGCGCCTGATCAAAGCGGCCAACGGACCACTGGCCTGCCCCTTTGCCAACTGCAAGGAGCTGTTCCTGGGACTGGACAAGCTCACCATCCACCTGTTCTCGCACACCAGTCTGATGAGCCAGGATGCTCCTGCTACCCATCCTGTTCAGGCTCTACCCGTTCCTCCCCTGATTGCTGTATCCGCTCCCAAAAGAAGGCCCAGACGAACAAGGACCAAGCCCGTTGTCATGCCCCCTCCACCTGTTCCCCCAACGCCTCCCGCCAACTGTGACATCTGCGAGTTTAGTTTTCGGAACACGGAACTACGGGACATGCACATCAGGTTGGTGCACGAGAATGCGGAATCGGAGCAAACTCAGAGTCAGCTGAAGCAGGAGGAGCCGGTAAATTCAAATATATATATATATACCTTATTTACCTATTATATTCCTACCTCCTCTCTCTATGAATTCATTGAGTTAAATTATAAAAGATCGTTTTGCTTTTTGTACTTTGCAGGATCAGGAGCCCTACAAGTGCCACCTGTGCTCCAAGACATTTCGCATGAAGGGTTCGCTGCGAATCCATTTGAAAGTGGTGCACATGATGGGCGTGCCTTGCCCCAGCCCCGTCACCACCACCATAACCATCAATCCCTTGCCGAAGCTAAGCATTTGCGATCGCATCCGACACAAGGAACCGGCGGCCCCTGGCAGCAACAGCACTTCATCATCCACTACTTCCCAGCCCTATGCCTTGAGCGGAGCACTGAGCATGCTTCAGCAATCACCCGACTCACCGGATGCAGGCAATGCCACGCCAAAGTTGTGGGAGTGCGACGTTTGCACCAAGTCCTTCACCACCAAATACTTTTTGAAGAAGCATAAGCGTCTCCACACAGGCGAGATGCCGTACACCTGCGAGATCTGCGCCAGGACCTTCACCTTCCAGCAGTCGTATCACAAGCATTTGCTCTACCACAGCGAGGTGAAGCCTCACGTCTGTGGGGTCTGTGGACGGGCCTTCAAGGAGCTCTCTACGCTGCACAACCACCAGAGGATCCACAGCGGCGAGAAACCCTTCAAGTGCGAGGTTTGCGGTGAGTATCGATTGTATTCATACACAGGGTGGCAGGATATTTAAATCCTTTCTGAATCCCTTTTCAGGAAAGTGCTTTCGGCAACGTGTGTCCTTCCTTGTCCACACCCGCATCCACACGGGTGTGATGCCTTACAAGTGCGATCTCTGCCAGAAGACGTTCCGCTACAAGGTAAGCCAACGAACCCACCGATGCGTCGCCGATGACACCCAGACCCCGGAGCAGCTAATCAAGGCCTTTCTGGAAGGCAGTAACTCACCCGCACAGCCCTCGCCGGCTAGCGCTGAGATTGCGGCGATCACCACCAATTCGATGGCGGATCCAGAGCAAGAGGCGCTGCTCTCCCAGACCATCGATGACATCGTGGTTGAGCAGTGCCAGAAGTTGGGCATCTGTGGCGTGGAACCGGCGGAGAATCAGCCCCATCTACTCCCCCTGGAGACGGCAGCCGTAGTACAGTTCAATGGCAACAGTTCGCCGTTGCAGCAGCTCCAGAACTTGAGACTCTACTCCCCCCAGCAACAGTCGGAACTGCCCAGCTCAGATGGTGAGGTCTTCCAGCGCTTCCTGATGGACGCCACGTAGATGGAGGGGAAAGTACTCTAAAGTGTTATTAACAATTTATTGTTTTAATTTTATAATGAGAAGTCCACAACGTGCTCAAATTTGTGAGTCCAATTTTAAATCGGAACAGACCCGACTCGGCTCGAATACATACATATAATGTTCTTTATTATTATAAAGCGTTATTCATTAAAGTCTAAAGCTGTAAATTTTTTGTTGTTCTGAAACCGTAAACAATTTTTGAGTCTAGGGATTATCGTCATACCTGGATTTGTTAAATTTAAACAAGAAAGAAAGCAATATTATTAAATATTGAGAAAGTTATTATGTATAAATCATGATGTTGGATATGGATCAGTTTGTTTTTTGCGTTTTTTTTTTTGTCTTAAAATACCGCTACAATTTGAAGAAACATAAATAAGTGACCGTGTGCTGGCTGGTGGAAAATACCACTCGCCAATGAAAATACAGTCGAGTCCCGATAATTCGAAATGGCAAGGGGATCACTTTTTTTACGAATTAGACGGGAATTCGATTTATCGAGATTTCTATTTAAAGGGGCTCAAAATGAAAGAGTCGAATAAACGGAGTACTTACATTTCACATAATGTTTACATATGTGTTTAGCTTTATTAAAATTAAACAAACATAATAAATATGTATGTACATTCATGTGTACGTTTTTCAAATTAAAGGAAAATTAAACAAAAAATTAACAAACAAAATTAAGCAGAAACATTAAATTATTAAAAACGAAATTTCAAGCTTTAAAATAATTGGTAATTTTTGATTGCTTCGTGTTTTTTTCTTTTATTTTTTCCATTGCGTTTTCTAAACCTATTAGGTTGTCACACACTATTTGGCACATCATGAGTCGAAAAATAATGTTTAAGTTGAGGAATTAATGCTCTGGTTTGTAAATTCTATAAAATTTCTTCTCCGTTCTGATGTCTGCAAAATCTAACGTCGTCAAAATATTTCGCATCGCATTACGATTTATAAGAGGTTTCGAAACAAAATTACGATTTATAAGAGGTTCAATATTCTTTGCGTTGCGCCAAATACTACGAATTAACGAGGGGACCAAAATGTATGGAATTTTTACGAATTAACGAGTTTTTTTCAAGGGGACAGAATTTTTTACGAATTATCGCGATTTTCGATTTAGCGGGGTACGAATTATCGGGATTCGACTGTATATTTAAGTACGGTGTTGCTATTTTACAGTTTTAGGTAAAACATTTATGCGTTATTTTTCTGTTTTCGTTTTATATTAACAACCATGACTTCCACATCTAAGGCCATAAAAGGCAGGAGCAAACGCGAAGCAAACCGAATGCTTGAAGCTACATATTTCTTCTGAGCCGCAAAAACATGTTAAAACTTGCGCGACAAAAGTTGAAATTTGACATCGCAAAAGATACCAAATGAGTGAAGGAAATCAGAAAAATAATATAAACGCTGTATTTAGTTCAATAAAACATAATACATATTTGCAATATAGCATTAAGGGGTTACATACAGTTATAGGGCTAAAAAAAAGCTAATTTTTCAGAGTGTTTTCTGAAGAAACTTTTTAACTTATTGATCCCAAACTTTATACACTTATTATAGTATCTTTTAACTGTATTTTAAAAGTTAGAACTAGTAAAAATATGTATGTGGAGAAGAGTTACACCTGTTATCCGGGAGCTTCTCTTAAAAAAGACGTTTTGCGGTGACCACTATATGTCGGAACTGGATCATCCGAAATTAAAAAACCAAAAAGATTTTGTTAGAGTAATGTCAAATCTAGAAATTAATCGAAGGAATAAGCAAAATAATATTTTTTGACAAAATGGCAGTTTAGCAAAAAAAAAAATCGATTTTTCGCCGAAATTTCCGCCTTAAATTGTTTATAAAAAATAAACTTTTTATTGGAAAGAAAAAATCTTCGATTAATTTCTAAAAATATATTTAAGAAGGTCGTGTTAAAATTTGAGACTAATCGGGCTAGCCGTTTTCGAGCAATGTTGGTCACCCACTTTGAAAACACCATTTTGAGAAAAACACGTTTAAAGTTTGAAATGAACATATGTATATGTACATAGGAGCACTTTACATAAAGCACTCTGAAACGACTTTTTCAAATTTACTTATAACTCAGGAAATATTCACCGGAACTTAACGAAACTTTCTGTGTATATTCTTAAAAATATTTACATTAAGAAACTAAAATAAAAATAATTTATTTTTAAAAATTCTAACTGTATGTAACCCCTTAAATGATCTTTTACTAATATTACGGGAAAATAATTTAAGTGTTCCCAAAGACTGCCGAACTTTAAAAAGAACCCGAAGAAACCCAATTGCATCACAAATGGGAGATGCCATATCCGACCGGCTAAGCAGAAAATGTAATGAATGTAAATGAAATTCTATAATTTTACTTTTTTATTATATTAAGAACAAAAATAACATAAATAATAACAAGTTAAAAAACTCATACTCTTCTAAATCTGGTTTAAGCGACCCTTCTGGAAGACTCTTCTTGACTCTGCGAGTCGTGTCCCATTTTCTCCAGACAGAAGATCAGAAAGCGATATCGCGGGCGATCAAAAGCATCCTCAGCTCTACGCGCTACACCTTGTTGTTGGCAGTGATCCGGCGGTCGTGCTCCTGATGCTGACCTCATTCAGCTGCCCCTGAACAGTCCATGTTGACATGTTGATCATGCGACAGGGATACCGCTGAATGCTGGGCTGCTGCGGTACATCATATGGAAAACTGTCTCCTTGACGTTGCAGCGAACAGATTTGAAGCTCTTGTTCGGCATATATGATCCTTGAGGAATATTGAGAAGGATTGCAGGACTCTTAATTAGCTCAAAAGGCATTTGATTAACATGTCTAAACCGACAGATACAAAGCTACAACCCAAGAAACTAGTTTATGTAGAAGAGACGGGATATCGTCATCAAGATGATGAAGAATATACATATAGACTTTATAGGGTCTACAACACGAGTCGGGATTCGGAGTCTTCGGAAAAGGCTTCGTGAAATGGAAAACAAAAACCGGGTGCTAAATCTGGAGGAATTTAAGGCGTTGGAAATGTATCTAGCACAAATTTTTACCGAGACTCAAATAAAAATATTAAAGACTGGAGGAGAGGGAGCCAAATTTAATTCGGCTGTCATTTCTGCTGCGATCTGCCACCATATAGCAGTGCTCCGTGCATATAACCACCTATACAGGAAAAGATTTCCTTTGCCAATTATGACGGGAACTTTGGACGTAGTTATTGATGTCAGGGAGAATGAGGACATGCTTAAAGCGGACATGTTATGCGTTTTGTCTTTTGATGAAATGAAAGTTGCATCCGGATTCGAATATGAATCAGCACAGCTGATGTTGTTTATCAGTCAAGCAACTACGTCCAGTTCGATTCGTGGGCCGAAAAAGTCATGGAAGCGCCAGTCTTTGTAGATTTTGACACCCAAATGGACGTGCATCATTATTAATAAGCCGTACAAAAGGGGTTATCCCGTGAACCATTTGATTCCGGAAAACTAAAGATATGGCGAGAGAGACGGAAACAAATTGACCAAGCGACGGTTCAGCAAGCAATTGCCCATTGCGCAAAGTCTAATGTTTCAATTATCTTCAAAATCAAAGACAGTCCTGAACGCAAACTTCCTTTGGAAAACAAAGGGTTAAGTTGGCAACTCAATTGTTTTCCAACACAACAGCAATTTCTATAAGGCGATGCTACGCGTTAGGATATTATGTAGAAACCGTGTACCTTTTCAAAGTTTTAAATTATTGGTTCGATGATTTTAACTGAAAATTATCTACGTACATCAAGCTCCATCGAAACAACACAGCCGGATGGAAAACAAATAGATATCCAAAGGGGCGTTTGGCTAAAATGTGTAAATATTGAGCGCAAACATAGTTGGCATAGCCCATAGACTGCCTTTTTAAAAAGAAATATTAGTCAACAACGCTTCCCTTGGTGATCTACTTGCATATTTGTCTGCAAAGTACGAAATTGATTATATTCTGACAAGTCGCCTTTACCTAGATATTGTAGAAAATTTCTTTGCTGCAATGCGGGCAAGGGGCGGACAACATTACCATCCGACGGCTCTTTAATTTAAGTACAGGTTAGGAAAGTACATTACTGGTATGACAAAATTAAAGCCATAAATTCCATAATACTGTCAAATTAGCTTTATGTTTTAGCAGTGTTTGTCGTGTTTGTTGTAGGTTTGTTATGTGTTTTGCCTTTCCTTACATTATATAACCATACAAAAAGATTAAAATGTTTGGCTCCCCGTATGAGATGTTATGGGGCCCATCCACAGTAGAACATGTTGGCCGAGCATGTTGAGCTCGACGAAACTATCATCGTTAGAGGTAGTGCTCGCGTAAAAATTTTGTGTTTCGTGAACGAAAAATAAATCATTCTATCTTGTTTGTGTTCGCAATACCATGCTCGACAATTGTTGGCACGAACATCATTTGAAGCAAACGTTTGAAGCGACAACACGTGATAGCGCAGCTCTAAAATGTCAAAACAATTTATGCAAGAATTTATTCATTGCCTGCAAAATGAGAAATCTTTGTAGCACGCAAAAAGCGATGCGTATAAAAATAAGAATGTAAGGAACGCTGCGTGGGAAGTGCTTCCTAATAAGTACAAGGAGTTGGATGAGCACGCAACAATTGATACCGTGAAGAAGAAGGTCAATTCGCTGCGGTCATCGTATAGACGCGAGCTTCAAAAAATAAGAAGAAGCGAGAAATCTGGTGCCGGGGCGGATGATGTTTACCAAACCTCTGATATTTCAATGACCTCTCATTTTTATATGATGACGGCCCGGGAATTAAAATAGTAAGTTTTTTTTTCAAATAAAAACAATAGTTTATTGTGCATATAATATAATTATATATTACATTTTATCATTCTGCCGAGATACAGCTCCAATCGTGTTAAAATATTCGTTAAATTTATCACGAATTGCTTTGGCATCTTCAGGATAATTGCCACCTTTCAATGATTCCAAATCGTCCATTTGATGGTTGGGAGGTGTTCCTCCAGTTGAATTTGCGGAATCTGCTGCACCTCTCAATAATACTGCGCCGTTCTTCTTCGATAAAAAGTTGTCCAAATAGCAGCAACAAAAAACAATAACAGAAGCCTTTTCCGGATCTAAAGCAATAGTATTTAGTTAACTATTATGCCAAATGCATTTTCCACTATACGCCTAGATGCTCCTTTTCCAGTTTCTGACGACTGTATGGCTTCATCAAATTTTTTGACAAAGGAAAGGCGTCGTCCCCTACTAACACATACGGCAGTTCATATGATAAATTTTCAATTTGGCGAGGCTTCGGAATGAACAGTGATTGATCATCGTAGCGCATTTTATATTCCGATTGGAGAAATACTCCAGCATCTGATGCCCTGCCAATTGCTCCAACTTCAACACAAATGAACTCATACTGTGCATTTACTATCGCCATGAGTACAATGCTGAAGGTTTTCTTCAGAGCTCGCAAATAACTGTCGACCGTTTTTCGTTGTCTGCAAATAAGTGTCTTTTCCTGACACCAGTGCTGCCAACTTTTGACCAACAAAAAAAAGCTGTTTTTGACGGGAGAAGTGAAAAATAAAGCTTAAAAAATTTATAAAAAAATCCAAAAAAAAAAGGTGAAACAAATGTATAAAAAATAGAAAAAATGTCAAAAAATATAACAATTTAATAAGTTCATTTTTGTTCAAAAGATTTCCATAATTTGATCAATTTCTTCATGGTCTTCCTTATTTTCGTAAGACCTAATAGTTCCTTTCATCTGCAGATATTTGATTGGCACTTCATAGTCAACGCAGCATTTTCCGACCCTTCGCAATCCGTTTCTCTATATTAAAATAAAAATGAATATAAATAGAAATGAATATCTTTTGCTTGCACTAGTATGCTTCTTTGTTGCAGCGTGAGCTCGCACTGAGTTTAGCTGTAATAGTACTCTTGTAAAAGTTGAAAAAAACCCTTTGCAGGTCTGTGTCATCCCTGCGAATCCATGCCTTAAATTCATCACTTTTAAGCCAGACATCGCGGCATTTTTGTTTATACTCCTTCGGCATTTTAGAACGTGCTAACAATTTACGCGCACTTTTTATATAGATATGGAAATACTAAGCGAGTTATGACATTAGCGTTTATCGATTAAAACAATCGATACGTCGCTACATTATCTGGTTTGTTCGTAAAGCTAACTTTTTAGCTGCCACTTTTTCATATTTTGTACTTAAGTTTTAACAACACAAAAAAAAATCGGGAAAAAGCCAATTCAATTTCCAAAAAAGCCAGAATTCCCGCTTTTCACAATTCCCGCAATTCACAAATTTTTCCCGCAGTTAGCCTTTAAAAAAAGCCAGTTTTGACGGGAAAAAATCCAAATTGGCAGCACTGCCTGACACTACGAAAAAACTCAGAGAGCAACCGAAATAAGAGTGCTTAAACGAGCTCGCTCGCTCTCAGAGCGAAACCGTTTTTTTTAATTCTGTTTTGTTCTGGTTGTTCCAAACCGTTTTGTCGTGTTCAGTGGAGCAAAAAGTCTTTTGCATATGCATTGGTATACACTCACACGCATAGGCAAGCAAGTCGTTAAGCGTCTGTATTGCAGACGAAATATATTAATTGCGGTCGTGAATTGAGTGTGTCAAGTTGAGAAATATTTGTTGTGTAAAATGGGAAGAAACTTAAATAAAAAAGTGCACCAATTCTTTAAATTTAATTCGGAAGAAAACAAGTCAATTTGTAGTGTTTGCGGCATTAAATTGTCCGGCAATCATTCAACAAACTTAAGACGGCATTTAACAACAAAACATTTGGACATTTTCAATGAACGGAACAATTCTGGATATTCAAAATTCACCAAATGTGAAGAAAAAGGAAAAATACTGGTAATAAAGGTTAACACGTAATATATTAAAAATGTTATAAAAATATATACTAGTATATATGTATATACGTTCGAACGCATTTAATGCAAATTAAAAATATAAAAGCAAATTATATTATTTCTTTTCACAACAACGAAAGTAAATGCAAAGACCGTTTGCGTTGAGTTTTTCGGTCAATCGGTCATTTGCTGACTCTCATTGTGCGAGCGTTTCTCGTTTCGCTCTTTAGGCAATGCTCATTGAAAGAGCGACACACAAAGAGCTCAACGAAAAACGTTCAACAGAAAACATAAAAGAATACAGAAAGAGTCTCTTGCTCAGAGCGAGAGCGAGAGAGTATGAACTTTTTCGGTTGTGCTCGCAACGAGAGCGCAAGAAAAAAATCGGTCGACAGTTATTTGCGAGCTCTGGTTTTCTTATAATTGAAATAAAATGATCCTGATGATTTCGGCTTTATTACATGGACATGCTATCCGTCAATAGCTCCAATGCAGTTCACAAAATTCCATTGCATTTCAAAACCATTTGCAACTTCCTTCCACTCTTCTTCATTTCCAGGCATCTGAAATAATATAAAATGAAATACGATTTTAATTGAAAACTTTATTTTCCAGCCAAAGGCGCCGAAACGTAAACCGGATGAAGGATCCGAGTTCCTGCAGAAGGAACTAGCCCATTTGGACAACATGAACGCCAAGAAACCGAGGGACGACGCTGACATTTATGCTGAAGGGTGGGCTACAATGTTCAGGGAGCTAAGCAAGGAGCAGCGGCTATACGCTAAAAAGGGTATAGATGAGCTCCTCATGCAAGGCCGAATGAATATGCTCTCATACCAAGGAGTGTCAAGCATTGCCGACATACCAAACAATTTATGTCCTCAAGTTCAGATGCCAATGCATGTCTATCCGCGACAGCACACACACGAGCACTCCCCTGACGAGTAACTCCAACACAAGATCGTCATTTGTGACCTTCATTCCCAGGATCAGAATACTTCAGTAATTATTAAAGATAATAGGAATGTCAATCCCGAATCATTTGCTGACAGTACAACAGTAATATAATAAAAAATAATTTTTACTTACCTTGATTTACGGCTTTAGCATTTTAAGGCTCTGGGTAGAAATTCCTGTTAAGAATTTCCGGTCTTCATAGCTTTGACCACTAGCCAAGAAACGCAAAGTCGCTGAAAGGCGTTCGTTCGCGCTTATTGCGTCACGCATTAGTGTGTCCTGTCTTCGGATTTGTGGCTCTACTAACTTCAACAGTTCTTCATATGTTCCACTGTCCATGCGAAGAAAGTTTTTTAAGTTCACAGGAGACGTTTTCACTGTAAAGGACGAGGAGGCCTTAGTCGCTCTGGAATTTAGTTTAGGCCCGGTGAATAAAGAATTGTATAATATTTATAAATAAAATATTTATTAAATATCTATATTTTTGCTGACGACTGCTGTAACCAACCTGCTGAAGAGGACTACACTCCCAAAGTCCATAAAAACTGTGCTGGCCGAGGACCTACTTTTAGGATACGACGTTGAAGGGGTTAGCGAAAAAATGAAATTAAAGGCCTTCCTTAAAATCTTCTGTATTACGTATGCATGTTTTTTTTTTGTTCAAAATGAACAATGAAAACAGTAACTGATTTTCAATTTCCTTTATAGAAAGCATTTCTAACTTTTAGGACCAGAGCCAACCAGCAAAGAAGGTCCTGGCTCACGCATTAAGCTGTGTAAAAAATAACAGTAAAAAAAACTATAAAATATTAAATAAATATTAACAAAAGTCTTTATATTGATTTTTAGACCTATTTTGAGGGGCGAGGACAATCCTGAAGAACACCCATGGGTTTCGTTTGGGGGAATCCTAGTGGATTTTGTAATGTACTCCAAGGAGATATATCTCTGTATATATCATTATTATATTAAATATGTTAATATTTTTATGTGGTGCAAATGGTGTAATATGTAATTTCGTCCGAAAATTACCTCAAGGAACAAGGCGATGCAATAAAAGTCGTCTTTAACTATGCTTATTGTGAAAATGCATAGCGCTAAAATAATTAATCCAATTTTGATTGCCGCAAGCCCTGGATTCGGATTTAATAAATTAAAAAGGTATTAATAATAAAAATATACAATTATAATAAATAAATAAATAAATAAACTCGACGTCTACTTCTACAAACTCTAAACAGAAAAAAATAAAATAATAAATACAAGTAAAAACCTACAAAAACTACCAACAACCGCAAGTGCAAGTACAAGTGCAAGTGCAAGTACAAGTGCAAGAGAAGTGAAAAACTACCAACGGTACAAGTCAGAGTCGTAGGGATGGGGGACCCCCCGACCCCGACCCAGCAAATGCTGTATCAACTGGACAGCTCCTAAAATCCCCAGGACCTAAATATCTAATTGTCTCCAGATCTGACCCCGGCCTTGACCTCAACAACGTCAACCCTTTCCTCATTAAAAAACAAATTGATTTTGCCTGTGGTGGAGAAATTGAAGAATGCAAAAAACTCCGCAACGGATCACTGCTCATTAAAACAAAAACAAATGTACAAGCGTTAAAACTCATGCAGCTCAAAACTTTCACTCCTACCATAAACGTCACAGTCACACTACACAGCTTAACTGCACCAAAGGTGTAATATACTCCAACGACTTAAGAGGAATTGAAGAGAACATCATAGTACAAGAATTAGCGGCACAACAAGTAACTGACGTACGGAAGATATTAAAACGAGACAACGGCTCTCTTAAAGAGACTGGACTCATTATTATAACCTTTAACACACACAACCTTCCCGACTACATCATGATTGGCTACCAGAGAACAGCGGTCAGGACCTATATCCCTTTGCCGCTAAGATGTAACAATTGCTTTAAATTCGGCCACCTTAACAAATTCTGCAATAACAACAAAATTTGTTACAACTGCGGATCACTGCAACACCTAGACCCATCTACAAACGAAAAATGCTCAAGACCCCAGAAATGCATCAATTGTAACGAAGAGCAACAACAAACAAGCCCACACAACTCCTCTAGCAGAAAATGCCCAGTATTCCTCACGCAACAAGAGCTTCAAGCCATAAAAACGACATAAAAATTTGACTCGGGGCGATTCGAGCAGAGGTCCAAGAGCAGGAGATTCAGGAAATGGCAGAGGAACAAGGCGTTCCTTAGAACAAAAAAATCAGGTGCGGTAACTGCTGCCAATGTAATGGATAATTCTTTTGTTGACAACCTTGAACAGAACGATGACGGATATTCATATTCTGGGAAGCAGAGAAGAAAAGTTATAGCAATAATAAGACAGTTTGAGCTGGCTACTTTTTTATAACTTCCACTGCAGTCGAAGGTAAATGAAATGAACTGTTGGTTAATCTTTCTCGTCTATTAGATAATATAAAAATTAATGATGAAGCGGCTGCTCTTTCTAGCTCCGTGCACCGTGTATAGGAGCGTTGTTCTGTTGAAACACAAAATCTTCAGAAAATTCTAAATTTTTGCATTTATGTGACATGGCACAAAGGAATTGGCGATTTAACAAAGAAACAAAATACAGCCCAAACCATTAACCGCGGAACACCAAAAAGAATCCAAAAAACAACAGATAAAACCCGACGGATGAGGCTCACACAACAATCGTTTGCCACAGCGGAAATTCGTTTCGCCACTCCGGCGCAGATAGATCGAAGGAGCACGAGTAGCACCATCACGACGTGAAAAACAAATTTATAAAATGTCCAAGAGACGCGACTCTCAGTTTATTTATTTATTTATTATAATTGTGTTTTCTTTTTTTTTTATTACCTTTTTAATTTATTAAGCCCGAATCCAGGCCTTACGGCAATCAAAATTGGTTTAATTCTCTTACCGCTGTGCATTTTCACAATATGCATAGTTAAAAACGATCTTTTTATTGATTCTCCTCAACATGTTCCTTAAGGTAATTTTTAGCACGAAATTGCATATTACACCAATTGCATGCAAGTGAGGTAGTGGGGAGCTAAAATTTAAAAATATTAACATATTTAATATAATATTATATACAGAGGAATCTCCATGGAGTACATTACAAAATCCTTTAGGATTCCCCAAACAAAACCCATGGGAATTCTTCAGGATTGTCCTCCCCCTCCACAAAATAATTATAAAAATCAATATAATTACATTTATAATTTATTTTATCTTTTATACTTTTTTTACTGTTGTTATTTTTTACACAGCTTAATGCGTGAGCCAGGACCTTCTTTGCTGGCTGGTTCTGGTCCTAAAAGCTAGAAATGCTTTCTATAAAGAAAATATTTTAAAATCAGTTACTGTTTTCATTGTAAATTATGAAAAAAAACCTATATACAGATATAATACAGAAAAGATTTTGAGGAAGGCTTTTAATTTAAATCAAAAAGTAGGTCCTAAATATCTTTAAATCTGATGCCATGTTTAAGGTACCTTCGCAAATACCTAAAGCTAATGAGGACTCATGTTTATCAAATAAACTCAGCTACCTGGTAATTTTATTTCTTCTTACTCCACCCAAATATTACTGTCCTCTATTATCTTCATCTGCTGAGGGATTTGTGTTGACTTTCGGACAAACGCTTAAGAGTTTGAAGATAGTTCTCGAATGAGTAAGAAGAGCCTGAAACAGGATCGCCGATTTGTTGTATGGTCTGTTTTACATGAAGTAAGCCATGAAAATTGTATGACACACTACTTTGTAAAGGTGATTCACGTCCATTAGGGTGTCAAAATCAAAAAAACTGGCTGTTTCCATGAATTTTTGCTTGGCTGATAAACAACATCAGCTGTGCTGTCATATTCAAAGCCGGCTTGCCCACTTCAAGCATGTCCTCATTCTCCATGAGAGCAATGACTTCGTCCAAAGTTCCCGTCATAATTGGCACATCTGCTAGCCACCTATACAATGTAGTCCGACTCGACAAAGGAAATATTTTCCTGTATAGGTGGTTATATGCACGGGGCCCTGCTGTATGGAGACAGATCGCAGCAGAAATGTACGCCGAATTAAATTTGGTCCTCTTTCCTAAAGTCTTTAATATTTTTATTTGAGTCTCGTTAAAAATTGGGGCTAGAGACATTTGCAACTTCTTGAATTCCTCCAGTTCTTTGCGTGAAAACATTTTTTCTTCTCCATTTTACGAAGGCTTTTCCGAAGAAGTTCTCGACTAGTGTTGTAAACCCTTATATTCTCTGTGGAACAGCGTCTTCGTTTAATGGCGTTTTTGATTTTAAATGCTGACCTCTATTTGGCGTCATTTTCCAGTGGACGTCCCTAAAATGGGTTACGAGTTTGCACCCCAGAGATTCCTCCCATATTATTCGTTTTTCGAGGCATTTTTGTGTCTTTACAAATTTCACGTCATAGCGTACGAAAAACGTACACTCGCTGAAGCAAAACCCGAGCGCTTTGACAGCCAACGAAATTCGTAATTCCTAAACAGGATGACTATGTCATATAGCTGCATTGAAACTATCGTAAAATTTTGAGTTGTTGAGGAGTTACTATAAGATTGTACTACTAGACTTTGGGTACAGCCAGACATAAAATATAATTTTTAAGATGTTTGATCATGTGATTGTTTTTGCTTAGCAATTATAGCGGACAAAAACCCAAGAAGTTTCAGAATACATATGCCTGGTTTGGTCAGTTTGTGGGATCTGAAGCATTTTTTGGGAGTCCACCAACGTGGCCATAATCTGATATTGCAGAAACTGTACCGGCAAAAGTTTGATAGAAATTCGTACGATACGATTTTCAACGCTCTCGCGGAAAATCAATAAAATTCCAGATTTGCTACTGAAATAATTTCATTGAGCAAAGATGGAAAAGAGCCCTGCTGCTGTGGAGAAATTCGAATATCGCGATTTGCGGAATATCAGTGTTTAAAAAACTGTGGTAAGTTAATTTCTCATGACTTTGATTATGCTTCTGCTTCTGAACAAATCAGAAGTCGCAGTCAAAGCATAGTCAAAAATCAAACAGCGACCAAAATCAAAAATCAGTAGCAGTCGCCGCTTTTCGTTTTCTTGCTTTCCGCTTTGCTGTTGCTTTTGTCGTAGACGTAAGTCGACGCTGTGGCACGCGTCAACTTTCGGGATTCGTCGGCAGCTACAGTCGCATAAGTCGCTGCATTCGACTTCTTGCAACTTTTGATTTTGGTACAGTATGTCAAGAAACTGTTTACACCCTGAAAATTAAAAATATTTTTTGGCTTTGCATGCAAATACAACGCTTTTAGTAAGGTTTTTAAATTTTTTTT